TCACTTCCCACGCCCCCTCTTCGAGCTCCTCTCCTCTCCTCCCTTCGCCGCCCAGCCTCGGCTCGGGAGTTGGGGGAGAGCCCAGGGTTTCAGTTGCTCCGGAGAAGGCGTGAGTCGCGCAGGGCTTGACTAATTTGGGGTAGGGGGCGCGGTGGGCGATGGAGCAGCCCGAGGACATGACGTCGCTGAGCGAGTTCGACTCCTTGGCGGGCAGCATCCCGGCCACCAAGGTGGAGATCACGGTGTCCTGCAGGTGAGCCGCCCGCTGGCCGGGCCCCCGCGTCCGGCCCGCAGACCCGCGTCGGTCCTCGCCTCGGGGCGCCTCCCTCCTCCCCACCCCCTCCCGTCGGGCAAGAGTCCCTGCCCAGCGGCGGGTGGCGACGGAGGCGTGGGAGCCAGGCTTGGGGTCCTTTACCCGAAAGTTTGCTCTCGGAGCTGTTGCTGCGAGGAGATACGGAGACGCGGGGACGGGGGTCCCGGCGCCCGAGCGGGAGGGGGAGGGAGGGAGAGGCGGCGCGGGGGTCTTCCAGCAGGTGGTTTCTGATCAGTTCCTCCTAAATCTAGACCGGGCGTGCCCAGCCCTTGCCTTCCTGCCCTCCTTTCCTCTCTTCTCCCCGCTCCTTTGCCCAACACCCCCCCTCCCCCGTCTCAGACTCAGACCCCGACCCCAGGATCCTGAAGCCTGCCTTCACCTCCAACAACAAAAACCTACTCTTGGGAAAGGATCGTATTGACTCGTTCATTCACAGCCGTGTGCGTAACTGATAACAATTTTAAGTGCTACCATTAAAAAACCAATAGCTTGGGTACAAAATCTTAAGCCAAAAGACATTTGTGTAATTTTAGAGTCCAGCAGGGGAGGGGCGTGTTTTTGTGGACTCCTATCCAAATCTTCAGTCATGTCACACAGGCTTTGGGGGTAACTTCTCCATCTCAGAGCTGGGTCTCTGCCAGGTTCCCTTATCTGAGGGGAAGGCTGCCCTAGGCAGTAAGGGGGTGCAGGTGGAGATGGGGGGACTTTTCCTTAGTGCAGTCACCCCGTGGCTGGCCTAGGGTCACCGCCTTGCTGGAACTGTGAGGGGCACTGTGGCCCAGGCATAGCCCATCTTGGTGTCCCCTGAGATGCCATTCCCCCTGCCCCAAATGACTCGAGTCCTGGCTGTGCCCTTGTTCCAAATCACCCACCCATCCTCTTTAAGGCCCCTCTTTGGTCAGACCCTTTAGCCACCCTCTGGGTCCCTGCCCCTGTATTCCAGGCAGTGGGGAGGTGCAGAGAGAGGCAGAGGACCTGGGCTGCGGGTGAGAGAGGGAAGGATTGGGGGGGTTGAGGGTGTGAGAGGGAGGGTTGATGTCAAACATAGCTGCCCCCCTGCGCCAGGCTCCCCTGATAACTCCCATATGTCTCTCCTGTGGTCCCACATGCAGCCCTGACAGAATGATCTCCCAGTGCCATTTGCATCTTGCCATTGCTCTGCTGGGAGGACCCTGCTGGCCCACTAGCTCTAATCTCACCTCCTCAGCCATCAACAGCTGCCACAGCCCCCCTCCCTTCCGCAGCAGGTCACACGTCCCTGTGCCTGACTCTCCCCTCCAGCCTTCAATCATGCCTGTGTCAGAGCTGTCTCAGGATCTTCCCCGCTCCGAGCCCACGAACAACCCATTCCCCATCCAGAATTCACCCCTCCTTCATCTCTGCCAGTTCATGCCCTGCATCCTGAAAAGCCTGGCCTCATGCCCCCCCTTCCAGCCGCCCCGCTCCCCCGTGAGACACCCAGCCAGAATCACTGTCTTCTGTGTCCCCTGGGTCCTGAGTTCTCAGCCTGGGCCATGGGTCACTCACTCACATGCTGAGCACTCAGCCTCTGAAGACATCTCAGGTGTGGAGACTCTATCCCTCCTCCCCTAAAGTAACTGTCTAAGCGTTTGAGGGCAGAGATCCCCACCCGGACTCAGCCGCACGCATCCTCTGCTCCAGTGGAGAGGAAAGGAGGCAGAGCGCACGCAGCATTGTGGCTTTGGAGTCGGACACCTTGCAATGCAATCTGCTCCACGACTTGGGGCTGACTTGTAGCCTAGGTTTCCCCCATTTGTCAAGTGCAAACAATGCGAAGCCTCATTTGCCAAGGGAGCTCACATGCTTGGAAGAGTGGCTGGCAGGTATTTCACAAATACTGTTGGAGGAATTAATTTACAGAGGATTGTGAAGTACCCGACACACTACTTTGCACTTGCTTGGAACACGGTTGGTGCTATTACCGTGAGGCAGCAATGCTCGGCCCTCTTGTTTGCTCTCTCGAAGTAGAGGTGTCAGACCTTTTGCCTATAAGGTACCTAGGGATGCATTTGAGATCCTGGGGGATGTGGTTCTGGGATCAACCCTGGTGTCCATTCCCTCTCAGGACACATGGTTCACCAGCCTGAGGGGGGCCTGCCCCAGGCCCTGTGCCCGCTCTCCTGAAAGCCAGAGGGTGGAAAGTGGGTCTTGGTAGGAACGAGTGAGAAGAGGGGAGTCACCCGGCACAGAGGGGAGGCCTGAAAACAATATAGGTGGGCTTGAAATTGTAAATTCATCTCTTTGCCTCAACCAGGTCCCACTATCCCAGTTCTAGAAGAAAGGGATGGGGGAGGAGAGGGAGCAGAGAGAAGAGGAGGAGATGGAGAGGAGGGAGAGCTGCACAGAATGGTTTTCTCCAGTATATTCTACACTTCATAGTCTCCAACTAGTGAGAGTCAAGTCCTCCTTTCTGCACCCCATGGGTAGCACTGACTGGGCCCCAGCAGGAAGCTATGGGGTGCCCTTGCCTTGAGCATCTCTGCTGGTGGGCAGAGATCTGGAGGCCAGACAGAGGTTTGGTGGGGTGAGAACTCTAGGGGGCTTCAGAATGAGCAGCTGGGGTTCAGGGAGGCCAGTGTTTCAGGGAACTGGAAACTAGCATCCTGGGAGCTAGTTCCCTTCCCTCTCTGCTCCTTAGGAAGGTGCCTGCCACCTCCTGCAGTTCTAAGAGCTCTCTGATCTTGCCTTGGGGAGGACCCAACCCCCTGCCATGCCTATCCTAGGGCACTCCCAGCCGAGCAAAGCTGCCTGGTGCAGGGGCATGTCAGCCTCAGCACAGGACCACAGCCAAGGCCCAACTGAGCCTCCGCTGAAGGCAGATGACACTGAGATGGACATGCTTGGGCCGCTGCTGTAGGTAGGGTATCTCTTGGGCTAATCTATAGTCCACTCCCAAATAATTGTTTTTTACCAATTTTGATGAGCTTAGGACCAAAGATCATAAAGTGCCTGGCTGCTTGGCTCAGTGGTTAAGACATGGGCTATGGGATCTATCTACCTGGGTTCAAATCCCAGTTCTGTCCTTGTGACACTGGGTAAGCTACTTAGCCTCCGTTTCCTCATCTATAAAAGGAAGTATAATAATCCTTATTGTAAGAGGATTAATCCAGGGATAGTAATTTATGTTGCCTATTATTCAGTTATTGACACCTGAAAGTAAATAAAAGTCCGTCTCTTTAGCTGAGTCCCAGGGTCTGCATGGGTCCTGGAGATCTGACCCATGTAGAGATTCTTACCCCTCACCCAGCTTTATTGACATGTATTTGGCATTTAGAGATTCTGAGTGAGTAGGGTAGATGGTTTATGGAACCAGATGCCAGTAGACATCGCAGGAAGTGTGAGCCACAGCTGCTCTCTCCTCTGGAGGTCTGTCCCAGACCTTTCCCGACTTCGTTAGCCTCCCTGCAGACCCCATCAAAACTCACCTGTCCAGGGTCCCATTCCCCAAGCGCCTCACTACTTTTCTAGTTTCTATGCGTCATCTGCTGCAGGGATCAGGACCAGCCTGCTGGTTAGCAAGGGCGATTTGCATTTTTTATGTAACAAGAAACCTTTGCACTTCTGCAGGGTCCGGCTGGAAGAAGCAAAGCACACTTCCACGCGGCGGGGCTCCCAGACCCCCAGAGAAGGCAGGGGGCGGAGTCCAGAGGCAGGCTTTGTGTAGCCCTGCTGGAGTCTCGCAAGCAGCTGCCCTCTCCCCCCAGCCGGCGTGAGGCTGGTGGGTGGCTGTTGCTTCTGCCCCAGAGATATTTTCTGCTGTCTGTTCGGGTTGGTGTTTTGCTGCCCTGGGGCAGGACAGGCAGTCGAGCTCGGGAGCTGTCTCTGGGCCCTCAGAAGGGGTGTGAATGGGCTCCGAAGGCTTTCATCTGACAGGCAGGGGCGGGCGCCTTTGGGGAAGGAGGGCCTGGGGGCAGCAGGCAGCTGTCAAAGCCAGCGCTAGGAAAAAGGTCCCGTCAGCCAGTGCATAGCCAAGGCATTCTTTAGTGGAGCCAGGGGAATAATAACAGTGGGATTTATTGAGTGCTTACTACATGCCAGGCACCTCCCATCTGTATTAGGCTGAACCAAGCGCAGTTGCCTGTAGTCAACTGTTTTTGACCTACTCAAATAGCAATTTGGTCCAAACTAAGATTATTATATTAGTTTTCAATTCCTGTGCTACAAATTACCACAAACCTAGTGGCTTAAGGCAACAGCCATTTATTATCTCTCGGTTTCTGTAGGTGAGAAGCCTGGGCACAGCATAACTGGCTCCTCTCTCAGGGCTCCCCAGGCTGAAGTCAAGGTACCTGCAGGCGCTATGATCTCATCTGAGGCTTGGGGTCCAAGCCAAGCTCGTTTAGGTTGTTGGCAGAATCCAGTTTCTTGCAGCTGTAAGATTAAAGTCCTGGGTTCTTGCTGATTGTTGGAGTGGGGTGGTCTTAGCTCCTGGAGGCCGCCCTCAGGTCCTAGTCCTGTGGGCCTTTCCCACGCTGACAGCTTAGTTCTTCAAAACTGGCGGGAGAGTCTTTCCCCAGGCTGCTCCGACGGAGTCTTATATAAAGTGACAGTAGTCACAGGAGTATCTCGTCATATTCCCAGGCCCCACCCACACTCTGCTTGTGCAGCAGGGGTGGGGAATCTAGGGGACCGTCTTAGACTTCTCCCCACCACAGTACTATATCTTTCTAACCTTACAACAGTCCTGTGAGGAAGACAGTATTTTCCCTTTTTGCTGATTAGGAAGTCAAGGCTCAGAGAGGTTAAAGGGACCTGCAGGGTCACACAAGTAGTACATTTTGGAAAGGGAGATTCAAACTCAGTTTCCTCAAAGTCCAAAGCTTTAAGGGCTTCTTGAGGCTGGGAATGGGGTCTCCATGAGGATCATGGTAGGGGCCTGGGCACAACCATGTTACCAAGAAGTAGTTGTTTTCTTTCCA